GGGCAGAAGTGTGCGTGCTGCTGGGGCTGGGCAGGGCAGGAAAGGTCAGATCTATGTCTGTCTCTAGAGAGCAGGTCTGGGCTCTCTCCCTCCTCCCCCACCTCCTCACACCCCAGCAGTAAACTGTAGATGAGAGTTTAATGTACTGCTACTGCCTTCCCCTGGAGAACTGGTTCCCTGACAAAAGCAGGATTAATGGGAGGACCAAGAGGAGGGTGTCTCACCAAGAAGTCTTGTCTCAACCCTCAGGAGCCAGAAATCAGCCTGGTCTTCCTGAGCCGGGAGGCCAAGAGGCCCTAGTGGGGGAGTCCGGGAAAGAGGGGCAAGAGGAAGACTCCTGCAGGCCACCCTGGGGCCCCAAGTTTTCATCTTCGCTCTGCTCTGGAGTCACAGGCCCTGGTGGAAAGGAGAGGGCAAGCGAGCGGAGACACTGGGCAATCACCCAGACCTTGGCGGAGGTAAACTGACCCGCCTTGAGCCAGCCGCTGAGGGCCAAGCCCCGCTGCCGCCCCACGGGGTGCAGCCGGCGCTCTATTTCTCCGGGTCCTCGCACTGCCCAGGGCTCTCCTCGGCCCCAGCCCAGCGGGGGCACTCCCGTCCTGGGCTCCCCTGCGAAGTCACAGAGACCCAGCTCAAAGGCCTGACCTGTCTCGCTGAGGAGTGCGACTCTGGCAACTTCCCGAACCTGGAGCCTCGCTTTCTCTTAGCAGGATTAATTGCGTCTTTGCGTGGCTGCTGTGAGCACTGAACAAGTACCAGGTGTGCAAGCCTCGGACACAGTGTGCGGTCAAGAAGGGTAGTTATGACCAAGGGGACCGAGAAGTCACTTGGCGCAGGTCTCCATGGCCCAGAGAAAGCCCAGAGAGGGGCTGGGGATTTAGCTCAGCGGCACAGCGCCTGCTTGAGTTCGATTCCCCGGTACCGGAACTCTCCCCCCTCCGCCCCCGCAAAAGAAGAAAGCCCAGAGAAAGTTTCTTCGCGGATTCCGCCAACAAGGAGCTTTTGAGGGTGGGAGAGTGCCTGGCGCCTGGCGGGGCGGATGACTCGAAACTTGGAACGGCCCCAGGAAGCGGGTGGGGGGCGGGCAGCTCTGCAAGTGCCGCTCTGCATCCTGGCGTTAGCGCCCGCACCTCAGCGGGTTCAAGTGAGGGTTCAAGTCCCGCTCCCCGCCGGCCACGGAGATGGCACTCCCCGGGCAAGCCCCAGAAGCTCAGCTGTGCCCTGGACAGGCAGCAATGGAGTCCTCTGAGCTGGGAGGGCTACCGACTGACAGGTGTGAATGGCTTTGTCACCTGCGGTGCCTCCAGGCTCCCAGGCTTCTGTCCTAGCAAGGCCGCCTGCCTAAAGGGACGGAAGGACTAGGATTACCCAGCCCAAAGGTCCCCAAAGACCCCTTGGGTTGTAGAGCTTGGTATTAGCCTCAGCATCACGTGGGCTATTCTTGCCCAGACAGCTGATTGCTCCGCAGCCCCGCAAAGCAACGCCCGGACAGGGGCAGCTCGGTTTTCCCGAGGCAGGCGGAGCCCTGTGCCCTCCCGCAGCGGCCAGCGCAGCGCCGATCTGGGACCTGCTGTTTCGGAGAGAGATGCTCTTTGCGCTGGCGTAGAGCGGCTCAGGCAAAGGCTGCAGTCGCGCTAAGGAAGCCCTGTCTCTACGTGCTAGGCTTTGCGCTGGCCTCTCCGGGCTGTGAGTCCCTCCGAGAAAGAGTCCCTTTGGGGCATCGAGAAGTCCCTCTAGGACCCACCTCCTGTTCCTGAGACTTCGCTGCTGGACAGCCTGGAGCAGGCAAGCAGCAGAACACATTTCTGAGCTCCAGCCTAAGACACCTGTAAGTTTCAGGAAGGGTTTCCCACGAGGCTGCACAGAGGTCTTTGGCCCTGTGACACCCAGGGGCAGTGTCTTTCTGAACCATGCTTGGGTCAGCTATGATCTCCCCCTGCCCCAGGCCACCCCAGTCCTTTCTCCCTGCCCTCTTGCCCAGTGGGTGGCCAGTGGTAGCTCCTGGAATGAGGGCTAGCTCCTGGAATCGAGGCAGGTTGGGGTAGGGAAGGGCAAGGGTAGTCTGTTCCGCCACTAGACCCAGGTGCTCTCAGGGGTGGAGGGCTCAGGCATCACCCCACTTTCCTGGCTGCCCAAGTGCCCTGCCCATTCACACGGCTACGTGCACACTTGTGTACTTAAAGACAGCCTGTCCTAAGGTGCGCATCTACCGAGCACGGTGTTTGCACCCACTCTTGCACAGGTTTTCTTTCATGCCTTCCATCCCTAACCTATCTATCCACGCAGTGCCACGGTTACCCCTCCGGCATCCTCCAGGCAGCTTCGAGGGCCCAGAAGACTGAAGCCACAGAGCTGCAGTGGGAACACACAAAAGGGAAGGGACTCAGTCAGGTGTCCTACTCTACCTGGGTTCAACACGAAACTATTCGCATCTCTCTCTTCCCCCAGGAGACAGTGCTGGTGGGGGTCTTGGAGGCCAAATTCCCTACATCCTGATTCCTACACCCCTACTGGTTTGGCCTCTGCTTTTCTCAAGGGCCAAGACCGTGTTTCCTAAAATGACTGAGATAACCAAGGATTGAGTCATACTGTGTTCTCTGCCCGGATCTCAGTTTAACCTTTCTTAGTGTGGCCCAACATCAGGTCCAGCTACCTAGGAGGGTAACCCTTGGGGTAGGGACTCGAGCGTCTTGGTCCAAGTCCTCAGGCTGGCAAAAGGGCGATGGAGAGGGTGCACTAAAGGGACAAACTACACTAGGATGCCGACACGAGTGGCTGTATTCATCCTGCAAGATCTGTGAGAATATTGCACTCAGTAAGCAGGCTTTGGTGCGGCCAGCGGCTCAGCTGGCTCCTATTGATTTATGCAGTGGGAGAACAGCTACTCAGATTTTTCAAGACTTCTGCATAGTTTCCCCCACTCCATTTAAAAAATGTTTCCAGGGTTAGCTGTCCAGGGGAGAGAGAAAGAGGGAAGTTGCAACAAGTTGTGCCACTTTGCAGAATTCACTTTACACAAGAAATCCTTAGGACAGAAAACCCCACCCCCTACTGGGAGTGGGAGCTGCAGGTAAACACCAGAGATCCCAAGGGCCCTACCTGGGCGAACACTAGAGGGGGTGCCTTGGCTGGACCCCTGATGGATGGGCTACCTCCTGGGGCTGGAGCCATCTCCGGACCAAACAGGTGCTGAGATCCTGTACGCGGAGGTCAATGGACAGGGACATGCGTGTGTGGTCATGGATTCATATGCTTTTGGGGGATAAACTTGTGCCGGTATGTGTGTGTGTTTGTGTGTGTGAACATACCAACTTGGAGAGGCTCACCTATATATCTGTGAGGGAAACTGCCAAAGGATGGGTGTGTGTCTGGAAATGGTTTGAGGGTCCGTGTGTGTGTGTGTGTGTGTGTGTGTGTGTGTGTGTGTGTGCCCGAAGTTGTGAACATGTATGTGACAAGTATGTTTCCCTAGGTGTCCACTACGTGAGATAGGGTGAGAAGCTTTGGTGTCACTCAGCACGTGTGGACATAGCAGGCACTCAGAAATGGCGAATAGAATGAATTTTAAGTGTGTATGTTCATATCCATGTGAAAGTGAACGCAAAGCCTGATTTCCTGTGATCCTGGGACTGCAAAATGGGGGGTAGGGATGACTGGGGGTCCAAAGGCTACTGCGGTTTGCTCCTTCCCAGAATTCCCAGGATAAGTACGAAGAGCGGACTCGGGCACAGCGAGGGGCTTCCCAAAGCAGTCTGGCCAGCTGGGCTGACACAAGTCTTCCCCACATCACTGAGTCTCCAGATCTTCAGGCAGCAGCCACTCTTCACCCTTCTGACCTGTGTTGTCTGAAGTGGTGCCTCCAGGAGAGACCAGGAAACTGCCGGGCTGGAATGTCTCTTGCAGGGCCGGGTGCTGGATGCCGGCACAGGTGATTAGCCGGCCTCACTGGGTAGTCCTAGCCTCGGGGGTATCCCCTTGAACTCCAGGTGCAGCCTCCAACGCTGTCAGGCCACCTGAGCCCGTTTGGGAAGAAATCTTTGATATTTAAAAAGTCAGAGAGAAAAGATCTTCTGACTTTACCCCATTTTACTAGGAAGCACTAATTTTGCCTAAAAGGAAAAGTTCCAAGAACTCCCAGGGCTCTAGGATCGCATTCTGCCGATCGTTTCTGTCCAGGTACTGCAGGCCTGGCCGCCCGCATTCTGGTCTCGGAAAAGGGATGTGTTCAGTACCTACAGCCACTTCCAAACGACCCTGAAAAGCCTCAGCTTGCTGCGCAGTCTGCGGGCAGCTTGGAAGACTGGCCTTCAAGGGGGCAAGAACCCTCAATCGGAGGCTGCGCTGTACGTTATTTATCAGCCAAAGACACACCTGCAGTAAGCCGGGCAGCACACTGGCACCTCCTGGGCCAGACCTCCCACCGGCCAACACAGGCTCCCACTTGCCCCGGTCTTCTAACCAGCCACCCCGCCCGTCTTCTCTGACTTCTTCCTCCCTGTCCTTCACCTCTACGGTAAACCCACATTCAGGTTTGAGAGCGCAGAGAACTTTGCCCCACTGTCACTCGACCAGAGCGCGAGGAGCCCGAGTCTCAGCTGCCCCTGGGGCCAGCGAAGCTGCGCAGAGCGTCGCCTTCCTCCCAGTTCCCGCGATTGCGACTGAGACTGGCGACTTCAGCGGCAGGATTTGTCCTTCAAATTCTGCGACTCCAAACGCACGGACCCGCGCCCACGGCTCTCACCTCCCATCCCAATGCCCCGAGGGAAAAAGGCCGCCAGCGGGGGGTTCTTCGGGAAACATCGAGCCGCCCCCTCCCGCTTCTCGGGGAGTTTCCCGGGGCCGAGCGCCGAGGGCCTTGGGGACCGAGGTTTCTCGGTTTTCAAAGAGAACGCGTCCTGGGGGCTCACCCAGCGTCGCTGCTCAGAATGGCCTCTCCGGGCTGCCCGTGCCGGCGGGGAAATCACACACTGTTGCATTCCCGGCCTGCAGGCCTCGTGGCATATACTCATTTATATATTTATGATTTCTAATTTTATTATAAAATAGAAGCAGAAATATTTCCCGAAGAACATTCACAAGAGGGCACGACAGGGAAACGGCAAGTCCGCGGCTCGGGAGGCTGCCCTGCCCGGAGCGCGGCCACAGTCCGGGGAGGAGGAGGAGAGCGCGGCGCGGCGGGGGGCCTGGTCCGAGAGAGGGGCTGGCTGCAGGAGCCTCGGGGGCTGCGGGGCATCGCCCCTGCCTTTCACTTAAATTAGAAGACAAAAATCTGACACCTGCAGCGCCCACTGACGGGTGGGGCCCTGGGGGGAGCCTTGGGGGAGGCCTGGGGGCAAAGGCCCTCACTCTTTTCTTCCTCCTCAACACTGGGAAAGGGCGGGCTGCCAGGGGCAGGAAGACGGAGGGTACAGGCTAAGGGGCAGCGTGGTGAGCCAGAGGCCGGGGACAGGAGAGAGCAAGCAGAAGTCCAGAAATCTAGACGGAAACGGAAGAAAAAGAAGGAAAGTGAGAAGGAGGAGCAGGAGGAGGAGGAACAAGGGGAGGAGGCGGAAAAGGAGGGAGAGAATTTATTCCTTCCCCTGTTTGAAGACCTGGCCCCCAAAGGATCTCAAAAGCAAGGTGTTAAAGATAAAATTCCGAACAAGGACCCAGAGCCGCCTTGCCCCGGCCGCGGGTTCCGGCTCCTGCGCGCGGGTCTTTCAGTACCTGATGGGTGATGGGGTCTCGGGCGCGGGCGCCCTCCCGCACCTCCTCTCGCAGGTCCGCAGCGCCCAGGCCGAAGGAAGGCCGGCGCGGAGGCGGCAGAGCTCTAGGAGCCCAGGTCCACGAGATTGGCCGACATGGGGTTGAGGATGGAGTCCTGCAGGCCGTGGTGGTGCTGCAGGGGGTCTGCGCCGCCTCCGCCGGGCACGGGCACCGGCACCGCGCTGGGGCCGGGCGGGTGGCCCAGGCTGTGCAAGGACGGCAGCCCGGGGGGCGGCGGCGGGCTGAGCAGCAGCGCTGGGCTGGACGACGAGTGGTCTGGCGTCCCCGACGGCGTCTTCTCGTCCTCCGAGCTGCCTAGCACCGACTTGCCGCCGCCGTTGAGCGAGGAAGCCAGAGCGTTGTGGCTGTTGGAATTGGAGTTCTCGCTGTTCTCCCTGCAGGTGCAGGAGCAGAGCAGCAGTCAGCGGGTAAATCGAGGCTGCTCAGCATCCCCTCACCTAGAGCCAGAGCCTGGCCCGCACAGACCCGGAGCCGCGCAGTCGCGCAGCCCCGCTGGCTGCTTCAGGACTTGTCGGCTTCTAAGTCTTGCCTTGCCTGGCTCTGGGAAATCCTTCCTGCCAATCCTCACGACCTTTAAACACTGATATCTGTATGGTTCCTCTTCTGCACCTATCCCCACCTACGTTCTCAATCTTATGACTATATTTCCTGCTCTATACCCCCATTTCTTGGCTGGAAAAGAGGCAGGTCAGTAGGGCACCCTGGAGTTTAGGCGTGCGCAGGTAGGAAGAAAACATCCAGGGGCCAGAATGAGGGGCCCTAACTCCAGGGCTGGGGGACCCCCATGAAATGAAGCATCTTACTCCCCTTCCTTTCTGCTTTGTTTAGTTTGAGGGGAAGCCCGGCTGGGGCTGGAGACAGGCTCCTTAAATCCAAACCGGGTAGGCCCTAGGAGGCCTGTCCCCGCTGGGTCTAGGGTCTAGGTTCCAAGGAGGGATGTGTCTCTTTCCCTGGTGGCATAGTGGTAACTCCAGCCCTTTGGAGAAGCAAGTGGGAAGGAAGGAAGGAGCCTGTGAGTCCTGGACTAGCTTTTCCCATCTTTCACCTGGGGCCTGTAGGAGAACACAGCTCTTCTGGAGTCTGGACTCATGCAGGTAAACCCAGCACAGAGAACCCACTGCCCCTGCCTAGATCTGGATATTTGAACTCCTGGGTAGGAGAGAGAGAGAGAGAGAGAGACAGAATTTCTCCCGGGCTTTTTCTTCCTGAATTCTGTGGAGGGAATCTTCAGGGCTGACAGATGAGACCTTACCGCAGTGGATACTCCAGCCTCAAGGTCTCAGACACCAGGGTCCAGGCTGCAGCATCCCCTCCATCTGTTTCTGCTGTTCAGCATTCCCACCCCTGACCCGGATCATTCAAACTCAGGGCTGAACATATCCCATACCACCAACCCCAGGTGTCCTGTTTTGCTGTACCCTCAGGCTGGATTCTCTTGCCGGGATCGATTTCTCTCCCATTCCTCTGTCCAGATTTGAAGTTCTGAGGGGTTATAGGGCAGGCAGTCTCCACGGCCCACTGGTCAACCTTTAGGCCAGCTTAGGAAGAAGGTCTGCTTTCCCTGAGGACACACTCCTACATCGGCCGTCTAGAGCTCGGAGGTCAATCCAGACATATCGACCTACTCACCTAACAGGGCAGAACCCAAGGACAGAGGAGTCAAGGGCCTAGCAAACCTGGGAAGGGCTGCTGGGCTCAGCGAGGCAGAAAAGGGGGGCATGAGTTTTTCTTTTCTCCCAGGACTGACACTTCCTCCCTGAGGCCTTTACACGCAGGATAAGGAACTGCTGCTTAGCTCCCGCATCCTTTCCCATGCTTTTCTCCATCCAGCCATCCTAGCAAAGTTCCGGTCCCAGGCCTGACCCCTAATCATACTTTGGCTTGGAGGTAAGATAGATCGAGGGAACGCTCGGGGGAAACAGCCAGCCAGAAATTCACAGCGCGCTTTCTTTCCCCTGGGCCCCAACACTGCGCTTAGTCTTCCGCAAAAAACACATCAGGCCTACCCTGAGGTGCCTCTCCTGCTGGGATTCCTGCCCTGGCCCAGAAGCCTGCTGCATCTCCACTTTTGTACAGAGCGACCAGGGAATTAGCTGACAACTTCCCGCGCCTCACTTTGCCCGCTTCAGACAAATCCCAGCCTGCTCGCTCTCCACCAAGACCTGAGTGCCCGTTGAGTCAGGCGAGACTGCGGCTGCACTGCAGCTGGGACTGGAGGGTCCAGTCTAGACCTCTCCCAGGAGTGGGCAGACGCCCTGGGACCCCCTCCCTGCGACCTCAGGAAGCCGGCGCCGAAGCTCTACTTACTCGTACCTTTCTTTGGCCTCAGCTGCCCGGTCGCGCTGCCGCCGGTTCTTGAACCAGTTGCTGACTTGCGTGGTGGTGAGGCCGGTGGCCTCCGCCAGCTCTCGCTTCTCGCGGGGTGAAGGGTAAGGGTTGTGAGCGTACCACTCGCGCAGCACGCTGCGACTCTTCTCCTTGAAGCAATAGCTGGTCTCCTCCCCGTCCCAGATGGAGCGCGGCAGCGGGAACTTGCGGCGCACGCGGTACTTGCCCACAGCGCCCAGGGGCCGCCCTCGCAGCTTCTCCGCCTCGATGTAGTGCGCCTTGAGCCACAGCTGCTGCAGCTTGGCGTGGTTGTGCGGCGAGAACTGGTGGCTCTCGAGGATCTTGTAGAGCTCGCGGAAGTTGCCGCGGTGGAAGGCCACCACGGCCTTGGCCTTGAGCACGCTTTCATTCTTGTGGAGGTGCTCGCAGGCGGGCAGCGACCACAGGAAGCGGCCCAACCGCTCGATGTTGCCGCCCTGCTGCAGCACCTCGCACACGCACGCCACTTGCTCCTGCGTGAAGCCGAAGGTGGGCAGCATGGACATGGTGCCGGCTGCGCCCCCGCCCGCCCGCGCGCGCCCTCACCGCGCC